TCTTTGAATCCAATTGGACTCTCTTGATTGAATTCCCATTCCCGATAGGATTCTTCAGCTTCAATCTTAGCCCTCCAAAATCAAAAATAAAAAATACTAGATAATAATCAGATAAATCAAAAGATATTTAAAAAAAAATATCTGATAATCAGGAAAAATCAGAACAGATAATTAAAAATAATAATAATAATAATAATAATAATAAAATAAGATAAACCCAAGTATATATTACAAAAAAAATAATAATAATAATATATAACTGTATAAATAAAATACATATAAATCTAATCTGAATAAAAATAAATAAATAAATAAAGATATACATAATAATAATAATAATAATAGAATACATAAAATACAAAAGAAGAAAAGAAAAAATATACAGGATTGAAATGGGCCTTACCCATTTGGGTCAGGCCCAATTGATCTGGGCCCGGACCTAATTGGGTGTCTACAATGTAAATTCAAATATAAATCTCTAATCATCAAAGTTGTCTTCAATTACGAATATTATTCTTTCTAATATGCCAATTATCATATAACAATTGATTTGTCATAATCCTCACAAACATCATAATGTCTCGAATTCTCTTTTTACCAAATATATTGCTATCATCTTCATGTCAAAGTTAAAAACTATGCATCATAATCCATAAAAAAATTCTTTTATAAAGTTTGAACCAATAAGAACTCCAAACACTTGAATTCACACTAAAAGTATAATTATGAACAATAGCCAAATGCATCACATTATTTCAAAAGTTCTCTCAAATTTCTCTAAAATCGAATATATGCTCAACATCACCAAGTACACAAAATCATCACTTGTAAGTTTTCATCCAATCTTTTACCCTTGTAAAATTCAAACAATCATTTGCACTTGTAAGATTTCAAACAATCATTCTTAACCAAAACATGCATATTTTTCTATAAATCGATTACTCCTTTAAAACTAACTTCCTTACTAAATTATCTAGATAATCACAATTTTAATTCCTTGCTAAGTACACAACCCTATACCACAATAAGCCATGTTCTCCATAAATATAAAATTTGAAGGAATCCAATAGTATACTTCAATTAAAAACTATAACCACAAATTAATCACTTTAGCCATTAAAAATATCAATACACCTCAAATAGAAATTTAATGATCAAACTTTAAATTAACTATACAAACATCCAACTCGCATAATCAAACCTTAAATACTTTTTTAATAAAAATGTAGAACTAAATCAAGTGAACATCCTTATTTACCTTGAAGAAAATCTCAAAGTAATACAAAGCCTTCTTTCTTAAACATTTTAAAATTCTTCAATAAAATAATCTACCAAATAAAATTCATATCTTTAATCCAACTGATAATACATCTTTATATATTCAAATATAAACCATATAAAATACAAAACTATCTTTTAAGATCTCATTGGCCAACATATTCTCTGACGACTAAGTAATCTTACCTATTTCATCTTCTAGCTTCACACAAGACTAACCAAACTTATCAATTAGTTATCTGTAAATAAAAAGTAAAAGAGAAATAAGCAAACCACAACTCAGATTATAGACTTACATACCTTACCAGATCAAGCATCATTTTTTTACACATCATATAGATCATTTAAAACATTCATCAAATCATAATATCAAAACATTTTAAGATCATCGTTTTGTCAAATATTTCATAAATTCATAAATCAATGTCAAAATATGTCACTTCATAAATCATTGCAAAATATGCTATCATTCAAATATCATAATCAAACCAAATCATGGATCAATCATTAAAATCATCATTATCATTCATTTATCGTTAGCTACGGTCACTGCTATAACCCGTGACATTGGCTGTATCGACAATTTCATTCTCATGATCGTTGCTAACTATTATAACCCATTAGCCAAGGTCGTATGATCATGTCTTTGCTAACTACTATTACCTGTTAGTCAGGGTCGTAGAACTAGTTCTGGTGTCGATGATCCCACTTCCCAGGGGTATAAAAACGTAGCTATCATAAAATCATTCTTTAAACATAAATCATTTTCTCATTTCATTCATAAACATGATCCATCATTTATATAGAGAAATACAAAATAATCATATGCTTGATCCTATTTTTATACACCGAAAATAATGAAATAAAATATTCATTCATTTAGAAACATATATATATACATAGTTTCGAAAACAAGCAAAGTGTGTGAGATTCTACTTACCTCTATTCGATTCCACCACTTAGTTTTTTTTCTCAAAATAATTAATGGCCTATCCAAGATCATTTCAACATATCAGAATCTAATCAACCCTTTTTAAAACCATTTATACAAAAATCAACTAAGTTACACAAAGGGTTAACTTAACTAATTAATACTGGCAGCCTGACCTCTTTTCATTAAAATACTCATATCTCAATATATCCAAATCAGAATTATGATCTCTTTAATGCGTTAGAAACTAGACTTAATAAGCTTTCTAACCATATATGGCACACCTCGTAATTCCTTATAGATTAATTATAAAAATTTTTGAAATCCACGTCATATACTGCTGCCAAACAGCATGTATTCCTTCTAATAAAAACTATATATTTATTCACAGGAAACTCCAAATTCAATTCCGCTTGTTTCATTGGAAATTAGACTCAATAAGCTTTCCAAACATATATGGCTTAATCTATAAATCCTTGTATAAAAATTAAGAAGAATTTCGTAATTCAACCCTGATGCTGTTATCTTACAGCCTGCATATCCTTAAGTTAAAATTAGAAAACTCTTTATAGAAAACTCTGATTTGACTTTCGTTTGTTTCATTAGAAACTAGATTCAACATGCTTTCTAATGATATATAATAATCACAGCAATAATCTATCCATTAATACAAAATTTTATTTTAATTCATTATTATAGATCACAACATCTCATCCAAAAATAAAATTTCTCCTTCAATCTTTAAAAATTCAAATACTTACTTTCAGCCTTCAAATTCCATTCAATAATCATCAATAAATCTTAAGAACATGAAATAAACAAAGCCCAGTAATTTACCCAAATAGATCATGAAGATTAATGAAAGATTTTATGATTTTTCTTGGTTTTGCTCTTAAAACTTCAACTCTAAATAATAGCAATCAACTTGATATTTCTTTTCAAATGAAAAGAGGGCATGTACTTACCTTTAAGGGATTAACTTGATTGTAGCCTTTGATTGTAAATCTCCAACTTGATTTTTCATATTCTCTAACCTTAAAGAAGATGAGGAAGAAAAATCCTATTTTCTTTCTGTTTCACAATAGTTAGGTTTCCTTTCATCTAATACTTCAGCATTTTTTCTTTTACTAAATAATGTCTTAATAAATTGATGGACTTTAGTATTAGTCTAACCCAATTATTATTTGGGTTGGGGTATTACAGGTTTACATGCTAAGCATAATTAAACAAAGACAAACGATTTATTATTAGCAGTTGAACAATTATACAGTACTATTAACCCAATAATTAGTGTACTTATGTTGTATTTTTTATTGTCAAATACGTGTAAAATATAAAAATTATCATATTAAAATTTATGTTAAAATATCAAATATGAAATATATATTTTTTAAAATTCATATAAGATTTTTGTTAAAATTTTAAATTGTATTAGGTAGTACCTAAAGCTTGGCTGATCTAATTAACTCCACCGAATCAGAAGATATTTAATAATCTTAGAGAATTGCATTTTATGATAGTGAAAGAAAACAAATTAGAAATTAATCATTTTTCTCATTAATAACAAAAAGGAGCTGTGTGGTATAGCAGTTTGTGGAGTGCATAAGATGAACAGCAGTGATAGAAGCAGAACAATGGTCAGCAAGCATGCAGGCTGCAGTGATCAATTAATTGTTTGATTAAAAGCAAGAACCACAGGAAAAAGAAATGAAAAAAAATGATTGGAGCTGATTGGATTGGAGTCCGAGTCTCCACAGCCACAACGTTGAATTCTTATCACTAAACTACAGCCACGAGTCCGGACTTTGACCGTAAATAGAAATATATTCTACAAATATAATCTTTAATTAAATAACTGGAGCATTTTTCAAAAGGAAAGTTCAGTCTGTGAACTAATTTTCCTTTTTTTTTTATTTTTGTTATTCAATTATTCCACCGCCGCCCCGTGCCTTTTGGGGGGCATATTATTGGGAACTGTTTATCAATAACCATCCTCTTTTCCATCTATTTCTATATATTGTATGGCCGACATATCATATCTTTAGCTATGCTTCGGATATCAATCACTGTAATCTTTTGCTTCATTTCTGCAGGTTCTTTTTCTCCATTGTGATCTGTCAAAGTTGGCCAGCTTGTCCCTTTCAAAAAGAAAAATTACCTGTCTTTCCCACCGTCTACTCTTTACATGAAAAGGATTTGAAATATTCCAGTCAACCTATTCACATTAAACATTAACACCAGTTCAATCTTTGTAGGCCATTAAAACACAAAAATGGACTTGTATTCGGCAAAAATGTTCTTAATTAAAAATATAATCGATAAAATTTAAATTGATATAATATTAAATTTAAATTTAAATTTGATTTTAAATTTAATATTTAAAATTTAATTTAAATTTGATCAAATTTTAATTTTATAATTTAAATTTAATTTAAAATAAAAATTAAATTATTTAAATTTGATTAAATTTAATTAATATATAAAAATAAATTTAATTCATAAATTTGATAAAAATTTAATTATTTATACTTAAATTTAAATTTAAAATATTTTATCAATTAAAATATATTAAAATATAAAAATTTAATTAAAATTATAAATAATTAAAATTAAATATAAAAATATTTAAATTCAATTCAATCGATAAATTAAATTATTTAAATTTAAATAATTTATAAATATTAATATATCATTTACGATGCAAATTTCCCACAAAAATATAGTTCCATCTTACTTTTCAAGTAAATCGTCGAGATCAAGAACACGACACTTAAATTTAGCACATACGTCATCGATATAAAAGGATACAGCTTTTATTATTATTATTATTATAAACGATGTTAAATAGAAACATTAACTCAAATTCTGCCATACAAATGACAGTAACATGCTCAAGTTCCATGCATACCGTCAACTGAATGGGTAACACTGACACGAATTGAAGGACAAAGTAAATAATACCCCATGCTCTAACCAGGCAAATGCCGGAGGAGCAATTTATTTAATTAACCACCAAAAACCATAGAGCAAATAAACCATTGAACTACTCTTCTTCTTCCTCTTCCTCTTTCCAGCAGCATTTCAGAGTTGATCTTGGAGAAACACAGCCACCAGTGCTGTTAAATTTCCGGTACATGATGGAACCACCAATTCCAAGTTCTTCAATGCTTCTCTCTCCGCAACAGTAACCTTTAAAATCCAGCAGACAGCTCTGCTCAAGCGACTGACCCGCAACATCAACATGCACTGCTACGGAGAAGTCACTTGGTTTGAAGCAGAACAACACCCTTTCAACCAACTGCTTCAGATTCAAATCTTTCAGATCATAGCCCACAGCTTCAAAGCTTGCATAACTAAACCCATCTTCTGGTGTAACATGAATAGTAGAAATTGCATCCCCTTCAATTGCATTCATTGAATAACCGCAAGGATCAAACTCAAAATCACATATCTCAGAATCTGGAAGGATCCTCCTTATGCCAGAATTAATGGTCATCACAGCTGCAGAGCCTGCTTGGTCTTTGTAGAAAACTGAAGCCATTTCCCTGTCCAAACCAGTCAAGCACATCTCTACAGTGTAAATAGGGCCACTAGCAGTAACTGAATCTGCAGATGCAGAGTACACATGCCATTTCTGTTTATCAAGCCCACCCATTACATAAGCCGTGCTGCCAGCACCAAGCTTTCCAAAATAGCTATCAAGGATAGTGACTTCTTCAGCGAAGTTACGGTGAGGATAAGGCTGAGCACCAGGGAAGATAAAACTCCCACGAGTATACCTAACAGATTTTATGGCAAGAGAAAGACTGACAGCCAACTTCAAAATGGGTGGGATTGCAAGAAGTAACTTTGTTGTCCCACAGGTTTTGATGATGATCTTGTAAGGATAGACAAAGAGGCTAGACTCAGAAAGGACATAGGAGTCCACATGTTTGTTTGACAGTGAAGAAACTATGGTGCACTCAGCTGGACCTAGAATCTCATCCAACTGGGCTTTCGACAATGATCGAAGACCTTTTCCTTCAGGATCAAAAAAGATGCCGGGCTCAAAAAATGATATTTCGAGCCTCTTTTCATAACCCTCGAATCCAATTGCAGATACTGCCATTGCGAAGTCAACCAAGGGATACCACTACAGCCACAAAGTTTCTTAGAATCGCACAAAGTACACAGTCGCCAACGAAGGAGGTTGCAGTTGTAAAGAAAAACAGTCACGAAGAGAGAGGAGGAAGAGGTTGGTTGAAGAAAGAATCTAAAACTAACTAAGAAAGCAAATAACAGTTGATTGACCACTACCAGTGGTCACACGGCACACTTAGAGTATATCAGGAAGGCTTGCGAGCGCACTGCAAAACAAGAAAAAAGAATAAACATTGTATGATTCATACAATTAAAAAGCCAATAGCATTTTCATGATAAGCAATATTCAGAGATAAGCCTCCACATACGTTGGAGTAGGCAGCAGATCGGAACTTCTTGATTCCACCGTTTGGTCGAACGTCTTCAATGCTGTAACCTAGGGGAGCTTCGTAGAATAAAGATTTACTACTACTAGACTTCTTTTTCCCACCTTTAGACTCCATTAGATCATTCAGTCACACCTACATTACCATTAAAACAAAATAAAGAAAACATCAAAAACTCTGTTCAATACAGAAAATTTCAAAAACTCAAAACACAAACACCTATATAAACGACTATAATCATGTAACAATCTATACAGCCAAATATCCAGAATAAAAACACTACAAGTTTCACAGCTAAGAGATCATGCACAATTACATTTTTTTTTATTAAAAAAAAAATTGCTTTCAATAGGAAGCAAAGAAATTCAAATATTTGCAACCAAAACTATCACCCACAATATTGATAAATTTTTGAAGACTTATAGATAACAATAAAGAGAAGATTCAAGAATCACGAGGACAATATTATACTATTATTCATCCAAAAAAAAAAATCAAAGACCATTATTTTAACATAAAAATATACTCATCAAAACAAAAAACAGATTTCTATTTGATAAAAGAACAAATACATAAAACATAAGTAATATTATAAGAAGATACTATTTATCTCCTCCAAGAATACATCTTCTAATTCCCAATCCATCTTAGATTCAAATCTCATGCAAAACATATATTAAACTAACAATAAACGAATCATAAATCGCATCATCAATACGAAAAACAAATAAAGAATCGAAAGAATCGACACTTACAATTCAAAACTTGAATTTCCTGAAACAAGCGATGACAAAAAATGGATTATCAACCTCTGCTCAGATCCTAAAAAGAAACGCAAAAACAACACATCAGTATATAAAAACAATAAAAAAGAATCGACGAATCTCTAGATTTGAATATGGTTAACTAAAATCGAAATAAAAAGGAAGAAATACTAACCAAAATATTATAATCTCAAGAAAACGAAGGAAATAAAGAAAAAAACAAGCCTTAAAAATAGAAAATGAGAGGCTAAGGCCGAGAGCTTTAGGGCGTATCGTATTTCTCGCGGCTCACGCAAATTATGAGAAAATGAGCTTACTGGGGGAGGGTCCTATTTATAGGGGGGAGGTAGGGCATTTTCTTCTTGGAAAAGGCTGCCACTGAATGGCGAAAAATTTACGTCTTGCCCCCTATACCATTTTCCAGGAACGTTCCGGTAACTTTTTGTTATTTTATTATTTTGGTTAATTTTCGTTTGACAAATCTACCCGTGGGGAAGGTGTAAAACGAATCTGGCCGTGGACAGCTGGATTCTTGGGGGATTATGAAACCGAGTGTTTGGTTTAGAAACGTTCTTTTAAGATATGCACCGAAAGAAAAAGAAAAACGTTTAAGATTTACCCTTTTTTTTATATTGGATTATTCTTTTTTTTCTGATGATAAAAAAAGTTTAGAGGTTTAAAAAGAATATAAGAAAGACGGAAAGTTAAAAGAAGTATCAAAGGCTTGGAAGGTTTTTTTTTTTTTTAATAAAAAAAATTAGAGTTGGTAATGAATTAAATTAGGATAATTTTTTTATTTTAAATTTGATTTAATTTTATATCTATAAAATTTAAATTCGATTTAAAATTTTTTTATATTTAAATTTATTTTGATATTGTATAAATTATATTAAATTTAATTTGATTTAAAATTAATAAAATATTTTTAATTTAAAATATTATTTTTTTAATATAAATATAAAATTATATAAATTAAAAATTAAAAATAATTTTTTATATATATTTGGTTATATCAGATCAAATTTATCTACTTTAACTTGATTTTGACTTTTTTATTACATTATTCAACTTAATTTTAAACTTAATTTTTTTTAAAAAAATTAACCTTATAAAATTAAATCAAATTAAAATTTATCGAAGCCGAATTAAGCTATCAACCTTAGGAAGAATGATTACACGGTCAACACTTAATGTTCAATTATTTTGGGACCAATTTTGTTGTTCAATTATTTAATCATTTTAGAAGAACGGCGGCGTCTAAATTGGTCAAACAAAGCAAGCAAATTTCTTAGTGACATACCCCACGCTATAAATAGACAGAAAGATAGAGGATATTTCAGACATTTTACATGCCTAAAGAAACCACCTAATGTTATCATCTTTTCTTTATTTATATTTTTTCTAAAAGTGGCTATTCATATAATAGTATACGTAAAAATATTAAAATTTATATATTTATATTATATTTTATATAAAAATTAGGTATTATAATTAATATTAAAATATAAATATAAAAAATATATTTTTAATTTTGTTAAATTTATATATAATTATTATTAAATTTTTAAATAAAATTTTTATTTATTTTTATATTGAAGTTGTTTCCTTTGTTTTAAATTTTTAGATCTATTTCTTTCCCAATTGGCAACATTTGATTTTAGATGGATTTAACTTTTTTATAATTTTAAAAATGTATTTTTTTGAAAAGTTATTTAATTTATTGTCATTATATTTTAAATTTTACAATTAAAATTAATAAAATGGCATGATGATTTTTTTAACCTGAATTAAAAAAATTACACTATTAGTATATAAAAAAACTTTTTTACCCATATGATATATTTAATTTATTATGATAAAAAGAATAATTTTAAAATAAAAGAAAAGAAATACAAGTATTGATATTTTAATATTTAAATTTGCTGAAATTCACCTATTTAAAGATGCATGAATGAATTGAGTTGATTTTTAAATTCACGTATTTAAAATTTGACGTACACAAAATTTTCATAAAAAATCAAATTTTGAGTGAAAAAACTTTTCCTTTCGCAATAAGATTAATTTGTGTGAGTTTTAAATAAAACGCTTTCATGGTTTTTGAAGAGTTTAAGAAAAAATAAATTATTTAAAATATATTAAACTAAATATATATTAATCTCAAAACTTTATTTGTATAATTAAAATTTTTTGTTGTTCAAATATTAAAAACCGACTCCAGAAAAAAGGAAAGTGAAAAAGATTCGAAGATTGGTGTCTGAAATAAAGTCTCAGCGAGACTCTTTTAAGATTGCGTGGGGGACACCAACTTCGGTTTTTAGTATGAATTTATTACGGTGATGATGATAAGATTCTCGGTGGGTCATTCTTCTGACACGCACGTGACGCGTGACCTGTAAATTTCTCCACCGTTACTTTTTCTTATTTTTTATATTAGTTTAAAATAATATCATAAATAACCTTGAAATTATAATAAAATCTTCAACTAAAATTTTAAAAAATTTATAATATAATACTTAAATTATAAATTTATTAATTAATATTATATTTATTTTAATATAATTAAATTTAAATAATAATATATAAGAGATAAATAATTTTTAAATTCACATTAACTTATAAATTTATAATTTAAATATTATATCAAAAATATTGATTGTTTCTTAAATTAATTGTTATATCAATAGAGTTGATATTTGAAAGTTACATATTTACAAAAACTTAAACGCATAATATTTTTTAAAGTTAAGTATATAATTAGATAAAAATTTTAAAAATAAATTAAAAATTTAAAAATAAAATACTATATAAAAATTATTTTAATTTAAATAATAAATTAAATATTTTGTTATAATTTAAAAATTATTTATAATATTAATCCTATTAATTTTTAAGGTTGTATTATAAATAAAAATTAATAATTTTAAATTTAAGAGAAAGGAAAAGAGCAATGCTCTCAACTAGGGCTGTAAACGAGCCGAGCCGAGCCGAGTAGTGAGAAGCTCGAGCTCGAGCTCGACTCACAACTCCGGGCTCGATATTCGGTTCGAGCTCGATCGAGTTTTATTTTTCAAGCTCGAGCTCGATTCGTGATCGAATTCGAGCTACTCGAGCTCGCTCGATTAAGCTCGATTAATATGTAAAAATAAGCTCGATTCGTATACTCGACAAGAGTTCGATTATTCATGCTCGAACTCGAACTCGAACTCGGATTCGAAATATTTTATTAATTAAAAAAAATAAAAATATATTTAAATATAAAAGCTCGATTAGGCTCGCGAGCTACTCGAGTCAGATATAAGAATACTCGAATTCGGCTCGATCGGTAAGTCGAGCTACTCGAGCTCGAGCTCGACTCGACAATAATCGAATCGAATTCGAATTTTTTTCGAATCGAACCCGAGTAACTTGCGAGTACTAATGTATCATTTACACCCCTACTCTCAACCCCTGTCACATGCTTCCTTGCTTGTCTGGTTTGCCAACTTGCAGATCATAATCTACTCAAAATATTTTTAATTCAGTTAATAATTATAACGTCATGATTCTGTTAATAATAATAAAAAACAGATTGGATCACTGTCCAAAAATACCAGAGAGTTGTCTTTTCAGTTTTTTGGACAACTGTTAAATCTGGAGAGATTGATATAATCCCACATTTGTTTTATTTTGAAAATAAATTATTTAAAAATTTATTATTCTATACACCCACAAAGATTTTCTAAAATTTCATAAGAACAATGCTAACTATTTATTATTTTTTTATTAATATATTAACACGTGCCGGTCACACAAAAAAAGAAAAATTGGAATTGGATGCATTAGACTTGGATAGATTAGTGAAATGAATTCATGCTTAAACAAGCCCAAAGTAGAAGGGATAAATATGCTGCTGCGAGAATTTATTTACTTTTCTAAATGGGCTTTGTCCACTCACCATCTCCGTCTTAGTTTTGGACTGGCCGTCATAGCTGCTGGGCTTCAACTTCTTTGTTTTTTTAGCAGATTTAGAAAATTTTCAACAATTTCAATTTGAGGCACATCATCATTGATGCTGGTCTGTTTGGGTTTCGATTTTTCTCTTTGCTCGTTCCAAA